TTTCCATTTAAGTCAAATAGGTGTCTGACGAGCAATGTCTCAATCACCTACGACTTTCTGGTTAATTTGCTTTATTATCCGGCACCAGGTAGTTTTTAATTATGAATTGCTATGCCTTAATTGACTGTTATTGTTGTGGTATGATCAATGTATGCATGTGAACCATGTAACCTTCAACGTGAGTTGTACCGATCGTTGAACGGTTATCCCCGTAGCTATAGAACGTACCTTCGGTAGTTTCTTCTATTTATGTATGGCAGTCAGAGCATGAGCCTTGGCTATGATCCTCGTATGTAAGGCCAAGGCAAAAGTCTAGGCATTCGGGGTGGATTTATTTCTGCTGGCTGGGCATCGATGAAAGGCTCGCGGGGCATTCTATACGTGTATCAGCTCAGTAGTCTATTGATATAAATGTGCACATGAGGGTTGACTCTGGGATATGAGATAGGATATTAATTAATTTGTATTCGTACTGCGACCATACCTGCTTTACTGTTTAATATTATGATTATCGATTATTGCCTAGCGGTGGGCACCTCAATTTTCCTATTGTCCTCACCCCCACCAGCTCTTCATGGATGCAGGTTAGTATTTGCGGGCACGGCGGAGGGATGCGAGTGGTGGTCTGAATAAATGTCATTGCTTCCGCCTTGTTTTGAATATTGCTATTACTGCTTTATTTATTTTGAACATTGGATTATGACAGGGAGTGTTCCCCCTAGAATCTATGCATTTGAGAGACCCAGTGTTGGGAGATTGTTGTTTGATGAACCCGGTTTGGGTGTTGACTTGATTATTGAACCCATTTTCGGAGTTGCAGTTATAATATTGTGGAAAATGGTTTTTCAATTAGTAGCGCTGCCAAGTATTTTATAATAAATTTCGAAAAATTTATCCTTATTTTCGGCAAATAAAAGTGGGGCGTTACACAATACTTCACTATTACATTTATACTTGCAAACAGGCGTGTGGTATAGTGTTGCCGATACCCAATTTCTGTGTTAGAGGTCCTGAGTTCGAACCTGTGTAGTAGCCATTTTTTAATTTTCCCCAGCTCCAGCGCGCGGGCCGCAGTTGGCCCGCATTCCGACCCGCGAGGCCCGATGTATCTCCAGTAGTCTCAGCCCGCGAGTGGCAGTCCCGGCCCGCGTCCTGCAGGCTATTTTGGCAGCCCAATTCCTTTCTTTTCAGAGGCCCAATTATGCGAGTAGGCCCAAATGTGGGGTAGTTTTTGGCCAACCTTCCCAGCTCGACCCAATTGACTTTTTAGCATATTTTGAGTTCCGGAAGCCCTTTTTCGTACCGATTTCAATTTTAAAAAAATATTTTCAAAGGAGAAAATTTGATAAATTTATTTTATGTTCCAAGGCTCCAATTTTGGTTCTCCGAGTCCTATATTTTTTTTTTTAAATGTGAGAGTTCCAAGTCCACGAAAAATCCGATTAAAACCCTTAAGCCTTTATTTTGATTAAGTGTGGGTTTATGTTAAATTTGAGTAAGTGAGATAGATTGTTGACATATTATCTCGCTTAATTATATGTGCTTGAGGAGTCGAGCCCTCGACCTACTTACCTGCTATTTCAATGTGATATTCTACCTCGATTTCCAGGTGGGTTTGTTATTCTAAAATTGCTATGCCATATGTGTTATGTTTGTTCGATCGGTTTACGGTCGTCTGTACGGTTGTCCCCGTCGAGTTACAGTACGGTTGCCCTTGCGAGGCAAGTCTCCTTAAGTCCTGATATGGTCGTGCCCTTGTGAGGTACGTAAGCCCCTATGTAAAGATGTGTCCGATGCGTGGCACGCACTCCCGCCGTTAGGGTTTATGCAGCCCCTTTCTGTGGCTAATGATAGATGTGCACATGAGTGAGTTAATTGGTACGTTGTGAATAGGAGATGAGACAGGATGTTGTTGTTTTATGTTCATGTTGTGACCATACCCTCTTAACATTATATATTGTTTATGTGCATAGTGGTGAGCACTACGGGTTCCTTTTGTGCTCATCCCCACCTGTTTCTTCATGGATATAGGTTAAGCAGGCTGCGGGCGTGACGAATAAGAAGACGAGTGGATGGTCATTTATTATTGTTTTGCTTCCGCTTTCTATGAAACTTATGTTTGAGTTTATTGGACATGTTGGTTGTTTTAAACTTGGTTTTGAAAACGTTGGGATTTGGTTGTTTGAAAACCCTTTTGTTGGAGTCATTATGGATCATGTTATATGGATATTCATGTTTGATGTGTCTTTTGAATATTATGTTAGTATTTGGTTGTTGATCATGAGTTACAATGCTGAATAACATGTTAAATTGTTGTTTATCGGTTAGTGAAAACCATTTGAAAAACCGGTTTATGAATCCCCGTGAGATCAGACACGACTTGATCTATGTAAATGTTGAATAATGCCCATGATTTCGAAAATGAGTTCGAAAAAATGTTTTATTGATTTTTGGAAAATCCAAAATTTCTTTAAAATCAAAGTGGGGCGTTACATCATAGGTCATAGCAGGCTTTTTTCCAATGAAGTTCGACAAGGCCCTGGTCGTAAGCTCCTGATCAACCCCCCTTACTTTGACCTCGTCCACCGCTGTTGGTATCTTCAGACACACCTGGTTATAGCGAGCAACATACTTGCGCATGGACTCTTTCTCCCCTTGTCGCATCGCCATCAAAGTGAGATACGTCTTCTCCTGGGTACCGCGCTCGAATACTGGTTGGTGAGTTGGCCAACAAAGTTCTCAAAGTCCTTAATCGACCCTGGGGAAATTTGGTAGAACCAATCGAGTGCACCTCCCCGCAAGGTCGATAGAAAAGCCCTACAACTAACTGGATCTGAATATCCATGTATAACGAACATGTTCTCGAATGCCCTCACGTGCCTCAATGGGTCGGTCGATCCATCAAAGGTGAGACTTATCTCCTTAAAGCTCACTGGTAGCGGCGGGGCCAAAATCTCCCTTGAGAATGGATGTCCTCGAGCACGCTTGTCCTGCCTCCCCTCTACCTTCTCTTTTGCGGATTTGCTCGGCCATCTTCTCTATCGCCCTGTACCTGAGATCTCCTTCTCCGCCATAGCTCGATATGTCCTCTTCTTGGGTTTCGACCACTGTGGTTAGTGCCGTTGTAGCTTGAGATGTTTGGTTGGTAACCTGCTGCACCGCCTGCACCGCCGCGTTGGCCATCATCCTCTGCATCTCCTCCCTAGTCATCGTCACCATTTGTTGAGCATGGGGTGCCACCGCTCTGCCTGGTTGTCCTCCAACTGGCGGCGCCATCGCCTGCATCACTGGTCCTCCCTATTGTGCCCTGACTGGATCTACTTGCAACGACACATGAATCACCGTTGGTGCTACCACACGAGCCTACTGCTCTCTGCTCGTACCTTCCCCCACCACCAGAACCGCCGATGACACACCCAAACCTTGAGGAGCAGGTGTTGGGGCCATCGGTGTTTGCAAAGGTCCGGAGAAACCAGGTGGAGGGCCTGCTCCTAACGGTCTGGTCATCGTCCACGCCTCACCGAACGACGACTGCAAATTTTCACAGGAGGAATTCCGTCCGCCATGGCTATGCTCTCAACACAACTTTTCGAGCAGAAGTCCCCACAGTCGGCGCCAATAATACAAGTGTAACGCCCGACCGACTGAGAACCACTTCGAGCTCGCCTTCCTCGCCGGTAGNNNCGAAACCTGCACGAAACTCTCACACTAGAGGCATTTCCCGGTGAAGAGCCTCCAACGCTCAAGTCAGTCTTGAGAAGATTAAGAATATATGTGAAGATATGTAAAGTATATGAGAGGTTGTGTTGAAACCGAGAGACCTCACCCCTATTTATAGGGGCGAGCTACCTGCCCTAAAAAGGCGTTTCCCGGGCAAGCTGAGCTGGCTGCCCCAGCTGCCCGGTCGTACAGTCCGCTGCCTCCATCACCTCGGTGTCAGGAGTATTTCAGAGTGTGTCAGAAACCGTTATCGGCATAGACCAATCAATGTTCGCCACGTGTCCTCCGCACGTGCTGGAGATTTCCTTGGAGGCTCTAGGTTTGACCATATCTGGGCAGGCTCCTGGGCCATCCCGTTAGTACTGGATGGTCGATCTTGCGACCACCCCCACCCCCCAGTTATGTTCGACCACTCAATACTTCGACTAGATCTGCTATATATCGGACTTGTCAGGTACTCCTGAATTCACCTATCTTTGATCTCTTGGCCCTATCGTTAGACGGATGTCTTGCTCGACCAGTCTAATTAACCTGGCTCGTTCTGTTGACCCGACGGACCGGTCTAATACATATAATATCCCATATCAATAGTCAAAACTAGATATAACTTGTGGTCAGTTGCGCCCTTATGGGATGCTTGAATATAAGTTTTTTTTTTTTGTTTTGTTTGAATTTTTTGATTTGCTTTTGTTGATACTGAAAAATGTTGTATGATTAGTTGTTGGTGGGACTTATTTATATGTAATATTTAAAATAAAATTATAAAAATTAATTTGATGTAAAAGTATGAAAGAGTTGGTGTGAACGGATGATTTTTTAAATTGTGTGAGTAGATTAAAATTGATATAATATGTAATAATGATTAATTGATATTATTTAATTATAATGATAATATTGAACATAGTGGGCTGAATTTATATTTGATTAAAATGATCGGTTAAAAATGATTCCACATCTTGTATCCAAGCATCTTGGTCTCTTGATGCTCATGTTGCATACTGCTATAGGTCGAGGAGGTAATTGCAATTTCCACGAAAAGATAATTGAAGTGTTTACTTTATATGCTTGTCAAAGAGCTACGGCGCAGGTTCACAAAAACCTATCTTCTCCGCCCTCAACAAAACCCAGTTTGATACGATCATCCCGTCGCCCTCTTGAGCCCACATACCCTTTTGAGCCGGATTTACATTCGATTATTTATTGGTTTCGTCTTCGAAAGTTCAATCTTTACCTAATAACCTATTGTATGTTTCTTTTGGTGAATTTTACCCGTTTATAACATGTATTCTCGAGGTAGCAACAATGGCTATGGGCAAGATCAGCCCTACTCTTCCCAATCCTCATACGCTCCTCAGAGTGTACGTTGTGTCCGCTCAATTCATTTAAATCTTGAAATGTATTGTCCCTCTAATGTTTGTATCGCGTTCGATCTGTCATCTCTTGTTGATTTTTTCTTTCACTGTTGTTATTGTAGTTGGGGGCAGCGGCCTTAATGGGAGGAGTTCACGGGGCAGCAGTGACAGTGCCTCCTTCCCAACATTACGGTGGAGAGTATGGTTCCGTCTATGGTTCAGCCACTCAGCAGGTACATAATTGCTCACTTTTAGTATCCAAACAAACTACTCTGTTTTATCATCATTTTCTTCTCTTAAACGTTAGTATTTAGTAATTTTTTTTCTACTCATATGTACTTATGTTTTCTGCCTAACCGTGATCTGGTTGGTAATATATTTGGGATGTTCTTTATAGATTTGCAGTGGGTGAGACCGTCTTAGAAATCATGTTTTTTTTTTCTGTTTTAATTGTGTTTTGTATGCGTTGTCATTGACCATTTCTCTTGCAATATGAGACAACTTGGAGATTGCAGGTCCATAATTTTGTTTCTGGATGTGCACTTCTCAACCTAAATTTGGGTGGTTTAATCTAGGCATGAGTGGCCAAGTTTTATGTGGGGTTCACTTATAGTTTTGAATCTATTGTGGAAGATTGGAATAGTTCATTTTTTTTTTTTTTTTTTTTATGTGTTATTACATCTCCTATTTCTGTTTCTTAATACTCTGTTTTTGATAGTCATTTTGCGTGTTAGGAACTTCAACTAGTTAAAGTTTATTTTCCTTTTGGCAGAGCAAAAAATGAGTCTTTACTATGGGTTGCTTGCCTTTGTTCGATTTTATGTTGAAATTGTGGTTGAACGTTCGAGGGGAAATGTATGAGGGAATGTAGCAAAAATGTACACATTCATACACTCAGACACACAAGCACATGTTTAATTGTGAGATATATTCTTCATGCGATTGTATTTTCTGGTAATTTTAGCTAGTAACATTTATGAACATCAAGATTGCCTGCTCTATGATGCATGTACTGATGGTAAGATAACATGCCTATATATGGAATAGCTGCACTGTCGAATTGATTTTTGTTCCCATTAGAATACATAGCATGGGCAAAGATATTTGGAGCCGGAAACAAATATGATATGTGACAAAACATTTCAAATATGTCATGCTATGTTGTTGAACAATGCTCTTTTTTGGCTGGTTGGTTAAGCATGGGGCGCGTCCTGGATATGAAAAGGGTACGGCCAGGACATACCTTTTTGGCTATAGCGTGCCCCAGTTTGGAGAAACTAAAACATTAGGTGGGCTAATTAAAATCAATGAAACCTGTTGGGATTAAGTATGAAAAATACCTTCGAAAAAGCCATCTTCTTTACATGATTTCATCTAAAAGATATTGAAGATGCCGAAGAATGATGGCCTGAACAAATCTTTGAACATTTAAGATGGCAGCCATGACCTCAAAGCTTTAGGGGTGACTTGAACTTGTAGAGAAAAGAAATTGGTGCGACAAAGAAAATAAAAATTAACTTGGGGCAGCCTGATACTCAGTGCTAGTGGCGGCAGAAGAAAAGCAGGAAGGAGATTACACTTACATTGGTTTGCTACAATAGTGTGTTAAATTTGTAAAAAATGTATCAATGACCGGGGTTGGACTGTAAGTTGAAACTGGGCCGAATGTGTAATAAACAAATATACAATACAAGTGTATTCTCTTATTTGATATGTCCTTTAATAAGCAGTGTACCAATCAACTTATATATGATAAGATTTGGAGTTTCATCGTTTCATTTGCTAAATATTAAATATACTAATACGTTTTTAAATCATATATATCTGTTTCTAGTATATGATATATATATTTAAGAATTGCCATATATCCTAGCTGCACATCCTATTGTAATATATATTGTTTGTGCTTTCAAAAATCTTCGTATCCCTCTGTCTTTGTGGTATTGGATACTATACCAATATCCATAACCATTCAACATTGCTTTTAGGCTTTTAGCTCTCCTTTACTTCTCTCATTCTTTTTGTTTCTCCAATTCCGTTCAGTTTTTGTTTTATATTTATAAGTTGAGGCTGTCATCTGATGATTTTACTACTCTTCAGGTATCTCCTTTGGGTGTCAAGGGTTCTGCAACAACTGCTTTCGAAGTCCGAAGTAATTATGGATCATCCATGCGAGAGTCACCTAAGTTTGGAGCTAACGATTACATATCATCATCTAGTCGCGGTTATGGTCAGAAAATTGATAAGTTATATTCCGAGATGACATCTGAATATCCATCTGTTGAAAGACGCCAATATGGTGATCGCCACAGTGCATATTTGGGGAGGGATTTACCGAGTGAACCATCTAATAAATATGCAGAGTCAGTTGCTATTGGCCATGAACATCAGGTATTGAATGATGGCAATCACAGATATATATTTATATAAGTCAGAGTGTCATATTATTTGTTGATTCCATGTCTTGTATTTTCTTTTTATTTCACTCAATTGAACATGTTCTGGATTGTTGACCATGGTTTTCCAGTCCAAGCTATATGACCGTCTGGAGCAAGCAACAGCTAGGCAAGAGGAAATGCTAAATGCTCGAGCAGTGCAATCTGCGTCAGTTGAAGGAGCAGCTAGGTATGTGAGGCAAAATGCGTTCCTCTTCATGCACACGAGTGTTATTAGTTAGTAGTTTCCTTTCACCAAAGGCCTATTCAATTATGTGTGCAAATCATATATGCGCCTAAACTAAAAATACTTTCTTTGCAACTGAACATGCCATATTGTACTCTTTTTACTTATTTATGTGATCTAAAGATTTCTAACTCTGATGGAGGAATTCAGCACACAAGAATTCCATGTGATCACTCTTGAAATGAAACTATATCCAATACACTAAGTAGCCAAAAATTTATGGCAGACAAGCTGATTATCTTGCATCAAGGGCTGCCATCCGTCATCCTGCTCAAGATCCCATTGCCTATGGTGAAAGGCTTGACCATGAATTGCGCAGTTTGTCAATGTTAACTGGCCCGTCATACGTAGGCAACCATACTGCATCAATTTTAGGTGCAGCTCCACAAAGAAATCTCGATGACCTTATTTATGCTCAAGGTTCTTTAACTGCTAACTATGGCGTGAGCTTGCCTCCGGGAAGGGATTATGGAGTAGGGAAGGGGCTTCTCCCACTTGAATCAGATTATCCACCTAGCATGATGGGGCGTGTTGGTCATCTCGTAGTCGATGACCGGAAAGCTGGCAGAGCCACGTATGGCAGAGACTTGGAACGACGAGACAAAGATGGGGATTATTTGCGCGAACGGGAAAAAGATAGAGAAAGGGAGAAGGAACGGCTACGTGAACGAGAACGTGAACGAGATCGGGAGAGACTGCGCGAAAGAGAACGCGAGAGGGAGCGTGAAAGGGAACGCGAGCGGAGGGAGAGGGAGAGGGATCGGGATCATAAACGCAGGCTTGAATTAATGCGTGAGCCGACTTCTGTCCGAACCTCTAGGGAACACCAAACTTCTTCTTTGGCTAAGGATGTCAGATCTGCACGGCGGGAATCTCCACGTCATGAAGTGCTGCATAGGTGGAATCCCATTTAATTGCGTCCTGTGTATTAGTTCTGTATGTTTAGAGCCTTATATGTGTTGCAGCCTTCCTAACTTCATCTTGTATAATGCTGAAGGCTTCATTCCCCTGTTAACGAGAAGAGAAGAGAGTATTCCTGCAAGGTAAAAAGTTGTCGTCCATGTCACAGCGTAGTTGCTGTGTGGGTACCCACACACATTCATTGAATCTTTATTGTTGAATACGTCTCGATGGCAAACAACGACATTGTCTATTGGGAGTTCCCTCTTTCTCTTGGTCTGTGATTGTTGAATACTTTTTTCATCTTGCTGTTATTCCCGAAACCTTTTTCCCTCTTTCCCTTTTTCCCTCTTTCCACATTCCTTTAATCTGCCTGCTCTCTTGTAATTTGTCACAATATCCAGATTCATCCTCGATTGGACGCTCTTCTGTTTTTCTCTCGTTGTTTTGTATGCTCACCCTTGCTTGTACCATAATCCGCTTGAGATGGTTCTACTTTCATGTATTTCTCAGATGTTGTATGGTAGAACCAGTTGATATTTATCATCATTCTTTGTGCAATTATTTTTTGACATTTTGGAGAACTAGGGCTTGCAGTCTTGAGGCTGTTGTTCAAAGTGTCAATCCAAGTAATTTATAATTATTTTAGAAGCCCGTGTATGTTCTGCATTGCTTCTTTTACATTATTGGGAGATTGCATCTATTTTTTGTTATTAAGATCTTCATCATGAAAAACCATTATTTGAGATGTAGTGGCAAGCTTGATATGTTGGATATTTGGTGAATGTGTTTGGATAAGTGACTCTTATGAATTTATTGCATATTTATTTTGCAGGTGTTCTCATTTAGTTTTGCAGAAGCTGAGAGGGATTATCTGTCACTGGACAAGAGATATCCCCGGCTCTATGTTTCTCCCGAATGCTCAAAGGTTTGGCTTCTGTTATATTATATTTTTTTCAGCATCAGTTGCTTTATGTGATTGTGCTGATTTAAATGGTTATAGGTGGTTGTATATTGGCCAAAGAACAATCTACAACTTTCTTTATCCACTCCCATAAGGTATATTTATCTTCAGTTGTATTCATTGTGGCAGTTAATTAATTTGTCATTTGCCTTCTGCCTAATAACAGTTTGATTTCAACTTAAAGCATTTTTCGCTTTTTTTGCTTGCGTCTATTTTTTGGTTTAGAACAACTTCTCTGTGCTAGTAATTTGTGAAAGTATCCTCTCTATTTGTGCGACATTACGCTACACATCATATGAATCAATACTGAAAATTGACTTCAATGTGAGTAAACAGTTTTGAGCATGACTTTGCTGAGGATACCACAGCTAAGAAGAAAGAACCACCTCTTATGCGTCCCGCAGCTGACATTTCAGGATCTGGAGGACGGACAACTACAACAGTGTGGAACGCGAAGGTTGATTTTTTAGAATCGGCTGATGTTTGCTTCAAGTACATGAATTTATCATAATAAAAGTTTAAGTAGTTTGCAAACGAAATCTATTACTTCATTATTGCAGTAATGTTAGCATGAGACATCTTGCATGTTATATGTTACTTAAGAAGTACACCATATAGGGTGCTTTACTATCCATGGTGAGCGTTGCTAAAAGTTCTTCATGAAACTTACTAGTAATCTTTTTCTCTGCTCTTTGACTGAAGTTGTGTTGATGTCACTAATATGTTGGACTATAGTTGTGACTTTTGAGATTTGAAATACGTGAAAACATTATTGCCCTTGATTGTTCCTAGATCAAGTAGGGGCTATTGTCAACCTGGGTTACCTTGTTTGGCTGTATGATGGGAACTAAAGGTGTTTATACCTCTTTATCTTTTGAACTCTTACATTATTGTTAAATTTGAATTTCTCTGGTAGCAAAAATTCTCAGCTTTGATGTATGACTTTGAATTTATGACTTGGTAAATTTAGTGAAAACGATATTCCGTTCTGTAATGTAAATAATTCTTTACTGGTAGATTATGTTAGGATTCTAATAGTGAAACATAGATTATATACATGGGTGTTGCTAATAAGTTAACCATATTTGTATAATAAATATATAATCTCATTCCTTAAGGAATTTTGAGTTTGCTTTTCCTCTGTCCACTCATTGTTTTTTTCTGTTAGTCTTATTGAGTTAAAGGAAGACTGCATCAAGTCAATTGAATACCTTTTCTTATATTAGCCTCAATCATGTATTATCTAAGAACTACGTAACTGAAAGCAACAAATTACACAGTATTTACAATGATTTGATCTTTTCCTGAACCATTGAATTGGATTACGTTTGTATTGGTGACTAAATGTAAACTGTTGTGCTGTTTATGTAACGATCACATGGAATAGAATATTTGCCGCATGCTCTCTGCACCTCTATGAACTCCTGTTTTCTTGTACAAAGCATGTTGTTATGTGGCTTGATATCTGTCATCTGAGTCATGTGCTTGAACCAAAAAGGTTAAAAGTACACTAACTTTGTGTTCTTTGGATCTGGTACTTGACAACACACATCCATTTGTCATTGCTGTGCAAATACTTATGAGCTTTTATTTGGAAAATACATCCCTGTATGTAAAAATAAAACCTTAACTCCTGGCTACATTTCTATTTCTTCTGTGTTTCAGATTATTTTGATGAGTGGAGTTGACCAAAATGCTCAGGCAGAGCTGTCATCTGAAAGAACCTATGTTGACCGCATTCCCCATCTTTGCAATTTGCTTAGATTTGCTGTTCTTAGAAATAGTAATTCTATAATGGCAATTGGGGGGCCGTGGGACACTATTGATGGTGGAGATCCTTCAGTGGATGATTCCTCCTTAGTCCGAACAGCTCTGAGGTTTATTAACAGAATGATTTCCTTGATTTCTTGAATTACATTCCTTGTTCGGCCTGAAATACTGTTTTTATGTAGGTATGCGAAAGATTTAGCTAATCTTGATCTGAAGAACTGTCAGCATTGGAATCGTTTTCTCGAGGTAGTCATTTTACCTTCTCTTAATAATTTTTTTTTTAATAAGATGGTGTACATGGTTTAACTTAAATGATTCCATAAGGTTTTCAATCTGAGTACGAACTTTTTGTGAAGTCCAACTTTTCTGCCATCTTATGTCTTCTGCAGATTCATTACGATAGAGTTGGAAAAGACGGCCTTTTTAGTCACAAAGAGGTAACTGTATTATATGTGCCGGATCTCTCAGATTGTCTTCCTTCACCGGATTCATGGCATGAACAGTGGTATAATCACAAAAAGACTGTTTCTGAGAGGGAGCGTCTACACGCCGTGGCGAAGAACGAGGTCTGTTATTATTGTTTGCAAGGGTGTGTGTGGCTTATATTAGACAACACTTTTGAAACTTTATGCCCGTAGAAATAAACTTCTGGTTCATAAGTATTAGAGCCTTACAAATTTTATTCTTTTCTTCTTCAATAATTTAGTGAAATATTTGTTTGGCCTGTGAAGCATAAACATGATTTACTTCTGTGCAGATAATTTTAATTAGCTATATATGTTGTGTTTGCCTCACATTTTCTAATACCGTTACATAATAGAAATGAACATTTTCTGTTATTGATTTTTATATTTTACCTCACTAGTCAGGCAGTCACCCTAGTATCCCTCATAAACACCTGCTCCCACTTGCCCTCCGGTTCATTTTTAACATTTTGGGTGATCATTGATTTATCTTTAACCATTAATATTAGGTATCTGGAGACAAGAGAGAAAGCTTAAAAGGTAAATACCTGAACTCTGAATATGCATCATTTCATTGGGATACATGTCCTCCAACTTGAATTGTGTTTTTCAAAGATAAGAAGAAACCTGGCAAGGCAGAAATTGAATTGACGAAGAAGAAAAAGGCTTTATCATCAGAGCACCCGGCAAAAATCGAAGTGCAGAAAAAGAAAGAGGGTTTACCTTCAGGCCAATCTGGGGACAGTAGCAAAAGGGAGAGTGATGCCTGCAGACAGAAAGGGAAAGCACCTCTAGTTTCTGAGGAGAAAGATAAATCAGCAGACAGAAATGATGTGGTCATAAGCACAGAGGGAGAGAAAATTGTTGCGGAGCAGGTTCCAGAAGGAAATCTTGATGGTCAGGCACCTGTTTCAGCCAAAACTGGAAAGAAGAAAATTATAAAGAGGATTGTCAAGCGAAAAGTTGCCAAGAAAAAAGACATTACTGAAAACGTCAGCGAACAAAATGATGAAGCTGAAAAAGTTGGGGCCACTAAAGAGATTAATGTGATTCCTGAAGCTGATTGGCAACAGGATGGCTCATCGAGTATTCCGAAGAGAATCTTGAAAAAGCCGGTGAAAGGTGCTTTGGAGAAAGATGAAAGCTCGATTGTTGAGGTAAAGGCTGAGAAGGCACTTGAGACTAGTGCTGCCGTTAAAGAAGAGATTGGAACAGAGGATTCCAATGCGGTGGTTAGCATCAAGACAGTAAAGAAGAAAGTTGTTAAACGAGTGGCAAAGAGAAAGGAAGCAGATAAGGTGGCTGAAGATGACCTTAAAGAGAGCATTAGAAGGGAACAGAATGAAGAAGCCGACGAGAAACAGATGGTGGATATTAGCTCCAAGAGCTCAAATAGTCAGAAAATAAGGCCACACAAGAAGGATGAGACTAAGTCTGATGAGAAGGGAATATTGATTGATGGCTCGAATCAGAAAGTTTCTCCTACTGATGCTCGTGGGAAATCAAAAGAAAGGAAAGAGACTAAGGATACGAATGAGAGAAAAGACTCTGTTGAAAATGTGTCTAAATGCAAAACAGATAAAATGGGAAAAGAAAAGAAAAAAAGCGATGAACCTCCCAAGCATCCTGGATTGATTCTTCAAACTAAATGGAGCAAAGTTTCGAAAGTACGTCAATCATTAAATATATTATTATTATTATAATATTCCATTTTCCTGAGGAGGCTACATTATAGGTACCTGCATGAGTAAGTTAATGGTGGCCTTTGTTCACAGGTCCACTCGTTATCACTTTCTTTGGATTCCCTCTTGGATTATACTGACAAGGATATGGAGGAGTCGACCTTTGAGGTGCTGTTTGTCATGTCTTTAGTTTTTCATATGCCTTTGTATAACTTACAATTGTTAATTCACTTTCACTTTTGGCATTCTGTGACTTGATGTAGCACCTAAATTTATGAAACATTCTTCTGTGTAGTTATCAGTATTTGCGGAATCCTTTCATGAGATGCTCCAGTACGAGATGGGTTGCAGACTATTAGCATTCCTTCAGGTTGGACTTAGCCACCATCTTTTTGCTTCAGATCTAAGATTGCTACGTTTATTCCATTTTAAACAATTACTCTTTTTTTTTTGTTTTTCTTTCTCTCTCTGTAGAAACTGCGGATAAAATTTGTTGCAAAGCGAAACAAGCGGAAGCGGCAAAGAGAAGTTTCTGTAGAAATTTCTCAGAAAGAAAACGAGGGCAGGTCTTCAAAAAAGCATTGTGGGGCGGGCAGCGCTAATGAAAATGTGAAATCAAATAAAACAGAAAATAATTCTGGTGATGATGTGAAGTCAAATAAAACTGAGAATATGTCTAGTGAAGATGTGAAGTCGAAAAAGACCGGGAATAACTCCACTGAAGATGTGCCGTCAACTAAAGCTGAAAATAAAATGGACGACACTGCTGAAGATACTAGAACTGAGAGTACTGAAGTTCTTAACCAAGAGGACAACAGAACTATGAAAGAAGTGATTAAATCCATTGAGCATGTTGATGATGAGATCGAAGAAGATCCAGAAGAGGATCCTGAGGAAGACGAGAAAATGGTGGAGGCTAGCCCTCTTTGTGCCCCAACCAAAGAGGCAAGGATATACTCAATGCCTTTCTTGTCGAGTAATTTTTGTTTGAATTTCTACAGAAGAACAAAGAAAAAAAAAGAAAAATATAGGAGGAAAATTATGAAATTAAGAAGTCCAGTTTTACTGTAAAAAGTAAAAACATTCGTTAGCTTCTTAACGTGTATCCGTGGTTTCCAGAAAGGATAAATTTTTCAAAACAGTTGGACTATACCCCACGTCTTTTCAGGAATTTGTCCTCAACTTTGAAATTAAAGTTAAATAGATCTTTAATTCAGCGTAATTGCTTATGCAGGGAAATGTTTATACGGAGAAGAATGCCAGTGATTCTGTTAGTCAAGATGTGCCACCTCCAATTGAGCAGAATGATCAGCATGATGCTGCAAAGCAAACTTCAGAGGTTGTCAGTAGAAACAAGTTGGCTAACGTGGAAACAAAGCCAAAAGAAACCCGATCTGTTGTTAATAAGGAACTATTGCAGGCACGTTCTGAGTAAATTCCAAATAAACTTTTTGATCCTTCTCCTATCCCGGTTAAGTTTTTATACTGGTTTTCTTGTTTCTGTTTCAGGCTTTCAGATTTTTTGACCGCAATCGTGCTGGATACATTAGGGTAAGCTGACTTTTAATGGATATAAAATGATGTTCAGCTTATGTTATTTTGTGATCTTACATAGCACTTTAATTCCTTTTCAGGTTGAAGACTTGAGGTTGATAATCCACAACTTGGGAAAATTCTTGTCACACCGGGATGTCAAGGTTCAATTTTTATGGTCATTTTACTAAAATAAAATAAAAAAAAAATGTGGTGGTATGACGTTGGCTAGTTGGTTGACTTTCTTCTTTTTGTTTTTGGCTTTTGTTACTTGTTTTCCAAATGAATAGGAACTCGTTCAAAGTGCACTCTTGGAGAGCAGTACCGGCAGGGATGATAAGATCCTCTATGAAAAGCTGGTGAAGATGCCTGATACTGTTCTGAACTAGAGAACTTGCTTGCTTAATCATGTTTCGGTTGTTTAAAGTTTGGCGTGGTTGGTGCCTGAGTTGTCACTTTTTGACGCTCTTGGTACATATACTTTTCCTCCTCGTATTGCTACATTTGTGCACTGGATTTGCTTCAATTCAACTCAGTGATAGATGAATAATTTGATCAGATTTGGTAGCCACATGGAGATCTGTCATTTCATGATTTTTTACGACACTAATAATAGACTTTATGGTAATGAATATTGAAGTTTGTGTTAATATTTCTTGTCTATTGTCTGGGTTTTTTTTTTTTTTTTTNNNTTTTTTTGGGTCTATTGTCTGGGGTTGAATGCCTGGCGTTGTGAGTTAAATACAGAGGCGAAAAAAGAAAAAGTTTTACACACTATCAATGAAAACCTTTTCACCCCGTAAAAAGGGAAATAAGTTACACGATAAGTTATGCGATGTACAAACCAAAATAATTGATAATTGATAATGTGCGAAATAATTATGCGATAAGTTATGCGGTATACAGACGAAGATAATTGGTAATAGATAAGGTGCGGAACAATTATGCGAAATATTATGTGACATACAGACGAAGATAGTAATTGATAAACTGTGAAACAATTCGATAAACTATGTGACTACAAATAGGTTAATATAATTGATAAAATGAGAAACAATTATGTGAAAAACTATGCGATAACTTATGCGACAAACATACGGACATAATTGATAAAGTGTGAAACATTATGCAAAAAGCTACTTGTGCGACAAACATACGAACATAATTGATATAGTGTGAAACATTATGCAAAAAGATGTGCGACAGACAAGTGAAGATAATTGATAAAATGCGAAATATTTGTGCGTCAAACTATGCGGACAAACAGGTGAACATAATTGATAAAGTGCGAAAAAATTATGCAATAAAATATGCGACAGAAAGATGAAGATAATTTATGCGACAAGAAGGCGAAGATAATCGACTCGGTGCGAAAAAATTATGCAAGAAGCTGTGCGACAAATAATCCACGATAATTGATAGAGTGTGCAACATTTATGCAAAACAATATGTGACAGACATGCGAAGATAATTGTTAGAGTGCAAAACATTATGCAAAAAGCTATGTGCGCAATATTATGCAAAAAGCTATGCGACCGAGAGATAAAGATAATTGATATAGTGCGAAATATTTATACGAAAAGATATGTGACAGACAAAAGAAGATAATTAAAGTGCGAAAATATTTATCTGAAAAGGTATGTGACAGATAGACGACGATAATTCATAAAATGCGAAATAGTTATGTGAAAATCTATGCGACAGATAGACGAAGATAATTGATAAGGTGTGAAAATATTATGTGAAAAAATATGCGAGAAACAGGTAAAAATGATTGATACAGTGCGAAGTATTTATGAGAAAAGATATATGCGACAACAGGCGAAGAAAATTGATAAAATGCGAAATAGTTATGTGAAAGCTATGCGACAGATAGGCGAAGACAGTTGATAAGGTGAGAAATATTTATGCGGAAAGATGCGAGAGAGAGGCGAAGATAATTAATAAAGTACGAAATAGTTATGTGATATACTATGCTACAAATAGGCGAAGATAATTGATGCGATAAGCTATGCGACAACAAGCTAAGATAATTGATAAAACGGGAAATAGTTATGTGATACCCTATGCAACAAACTGGTGCACATAATTGATTAAGTGCGAAACAATTATGCGACATACAAGCGAAGATAATTGATAAAATGGGAAATAGTTATGCGATAGCCTATGCGACAAAGAGGCGAACATAATTAAAAAAGTGCAAAACAATTATGCGCTAAATTATGCGACAGACAAGCGAAGATAATTGATAAAGTGCGAAATAGTTATGTGATAGTCTATGCGACAAACATACAAACATAATTGACAAAGTGCAAAAAAAATATGCGATAGATATGCGGCAGACTGGTGAAGAGAAATTATAAAAACTACGAAATATCTATGCAATATGATATGCGACATACAAGAAAAGTTCATTGAGTAAAGTTTGAAACAAATTATGCAATAAAGCATGCAACAGAGAGGCGAAATGAATTGGAAAAGCGTGAATTACTTGAGAAAGTGTGAATTACTGATGCGATATACATGGGAAAATAATCGAGAAAGTGAGATATCATTATGCGATAAGTTACGTGACAGACATGTGAAGTTAATTGATGAACTACAAAATAATTATGAGGTAACTATGCGACATAGATACGAAGATAATCATGCAAGTGTGACCTCAGCATGTGTTGTAAATATTTTTTCGGAGTAGAATCAAAAGATTCGAACACCAGGTCGTGTCTCTCGAGAAAGGTTAGCCAGAATATTCTATACGTTTACTCAACCACACAAAAAGAAATAAAATTCCAAAACATACTAATTCAGAGATTGGATTTGATTTTGATTATCAACTACTACAAAAATTCAAATAAAACAATAATAATAGCAATCAACAACACAAAACAAGCAGGATTTAAGAAGCTAGGGAGTTGGTGATATCCATTTTGGTTCGAGTTGCAATTAATGGGCAAGTGATTGTTTAGTTAAGTGATTTGAATACTTGCACGTTCAAGTACTCATCCTCAAAAACTCTTCGTAAAAAAAGAAAAAAACTAGAACGACAAATTTAACAAGTCATTTAACTCCTAGGCAATATAGTTACGAATAAGCCTAGCTTATGCGAGCCTATTTCGACCGACTCCTCTCCTTTCAGTTCTAAGAGTCGATTCAAGTATACTAAGGGTGATTAACCGACTAATCAAATAAAATCACCAATATCAACCACGAATAAATCAAATTCAACTGAAAAACAATTGGAAGTTGAAGTGTCACCCTTCAACAAATCTTAATATTCAAGAACGATAATTGAAAATCACTTTAAAAGATCAACTCGTATGAGAAGAACAATCAACGAACACCCACAATCACAATCGAAATCAAAACATTAATCCCCTATTCCTTAGCATATGAATTTAGCCGATCATAATTAAATTATCAACACAAACAATCATTTCAATCAAAGAATCCATAATCAATAATAAAGTGAAGAGAAACCCTTACAATTAATAAAATTCCAAGGTTGAATTCGATAAATAAGCTTAAATCCAAAACAAGGAAGAAATCCAAGTTCTACGTTGAAATTGATGAAGGAAAAATGTAAAAATGAGAAAAAGAGAAGAGGAATAGGGTTAGTGTGTTTTCTGTGCGTCCAAAGATATCTGGCTCGCGATCTGATCTTCATATTTATAGAGGGGCATATTGGCACGGCGCGGCAGAATCCCTCATCACGGAGTGGGAGATGCACAACGGCGTGACATGAATGCGTGTCACAGCGCGGAAGATGCACAACGACGCGGGCAGGATCATTCTTCACGAAGCGAAGGCAGGAG